TTTTAGACAGACCATTGCTTCAGCACCCTTGGAAAATGTGTGTTGCATTCCCTGTGGAAATAGGAAGCAGAATGGCAATTTTGTTGCTGCTACTGCTGTCCTGTACATTTGTTAGACTCACCTGGCACTGTTCCAAGGGTAATTGCAGTGACTGCAAACACATTCCTTAAAATCTTACTTGCTTGCAGCCACATGCTTGGCAACTAAAAACTGTTCGCATTAAATCAAGGAGCTTTTGACAAAATGAATTCCCCAACCCGCAAATAGCTACGTGTCAACGTAAGTCTAAAATACCAGTTATTCCACAGCAAATTTTAGTAATATACTGTATTAAGAAGGCTATTTAAGGTGTCAGTCTTTAAACAAATTTCCAATGTATTACATATATTGTACACAAATAAAGCATATACCAAGTGAGATGTTGGAGATCTGCAAATATGATATCTCTGATTTCGCATCTACTTTTGCTCTACATGTATAGATGGATGCATCTATCTACAAATTTATTTATTTGGTTTTTCAATTTTAAGATTTTACAATCACATATCCAACATATGTCATAAAAACAAGATTCCAAAGAATCTCCAGGACTTCCCTCCTCCTCTTTGTGGGTCCTATTCTTAATCATTGCCTCCTGCATCTTTTATAATAATCCAAATCTTTTACATCCTGTTTTTTGTTGCATCAATTAAGTGTTTTAAATTTGTTGTTAGCCGCCCTGAGCCTGATTTTCTGAACCAGGAAGGGCGGGGTATAAATAAAAAATTATTATTTATTTATTATTAAATCTCCATTATATCCCAAAATTCACTATTAAACTACAAGTGTTATTCCAATCCTACTAACGCTTTTAACTGTTTACAATTATTTTTAAAATAGATTATAAATTTTCCCCATTCCTTATTTATTTCTGATTCTTCCGGTCATTTTTGCCATTTCGGCATAATTCATCAACTTAATCTGCCATTCTTCTCCGTTCAGGACTTTAACTTCTTTCCGATGAATGTATCTTCCTTGCAGAAAATCAAACTGTTGGTCCATGTGGTTCAGTCCTGCCTCTCTTGATTGGCACTGAAGGCCTCTCTACATGCAAATCCTTTCTATTCCTGAGTATTCTACATTCCCCCATGGATGTGACCAGACAAGGATGAATCCCTTCCCCTTCTATTAAGCATGCATACCTAATCTCGTCACAGAGCTGAATGTTCTATGGTGAGATGTGTCCGTAATTTGTAGAAAGATCTTAGCTGGACCACAGACATAAATGTATGTAACTGAACCTCTGCCAAATATTTTTGGTTTTGCTGTGGATGGCAGCCGTGGAACCTGGCCATGTGCTTTTAATAGGCCACGCCTAAGTAGTAGTAGATTGCATGCATCCAGCTGTCTGCATAATTTTGTTTTTCTTGGCAGACACCCATTACACTATTATTAGCCCAGTACAAAGTACCTCCTGGCATGACTTTGCTCTCCTTTTCACTAGCGCAATGAGAGCTGTAACATAGTCATATATAAAACAGACACTCATCTGCTCTGGCCTACTCTTCCAGCAAGAAGGATTTTCAGTTTTATGGATTCTAAAACTGCCATTGAAACACTTTTGTGCCATGAACTACACTTGCAAAAGTCAGTTTTGTCACATGAGTTTTTAAAATATCATCATCATCATCATCATCTCACCACCCAAATTGATTACCAAAAGTGAGGTCAAAAATCTTACTTCAAATGGGAGCTCCGCTAGTTCTAGATTTCCAGACAAATCAAGTCTTTGCAGGTTCTCACAGTCTCCCAGTTCTGGAGGGACAGCCTTCAAGCGATTAAAACTCACATTGAGCTCTTGCAGGTTTTTTAAGCAACCTGTCAAAATAAAGTGAGCTTACATCAGCTGTGCAGTAATTCCAATGACTACATTAACAACAAAAGAGACTATGGTAACAACAAGAGGCCCCTGGAAAACACGGGGCCAAGCGGTTTTCCAATTCAGTGGTACAGAGCAACTAGAAATCTGGATGAGCCAGTTTAATACAGATACTGAAAACAGACCTGATATGATTTCATGAAGGGGGAGAGGGAGGAATTAGGGAAGCCTAATGCAATTGCTGATAAATTGCATTAATTAATTAACAGTTTAAATGTACACATTTCCATGTGAGGGAATAGTTCTAAAGAAAAACGTGACACACGTGTTTATATTACACTTTTAGATTAAACACAACACAAACATTATTTTAAAATAAGGATTCACCATTCTCTAATGGAAGGGAATACCTCTTTTAAGATAATGAATACGTTAATTATAAAATGGTGCTTGACATCAGACATATATACGGTGTATATATATATATATATATATATATATCATCATAACTGACCAATTTAAATTGGCTGGCCCAGTTAACCTGGAGTGCCTTCTTAGTGGGTTGAGAATGTTTTTGTTTGTTTGTTTAAAAAAGATCATTTCTCATAAAAGACAACTGCACGATAGCACAATTCTCTGTAGTGCTGGAGAATATGAAAAGTGTATGTTAATTTTGAATTATTGATCTGTCTGTCTGCCTGCCTATGCCCAATGCCTTAAAACTGAGGAGCTCAAGATGATACAAACAACTGCTAAATTAGGTCAGAAGAGGGAAAGTGAAAGGCCCAAGGACACCTCCTGAGTTTCAGGTATAAGTGGGGATTTGAGTCCGGTTTGCTCAGATCTCCCCAGCCATAGTCCAACAAGCCATGAATCTCTTGAAAGTTATGCTCCATATTACCTGGCATATACTAATTCACAAAGGCAACATTTGAGGCTTCACCAATCCCACATCAGCCTGCTGTATCCATCTACAAAAACTACAGAAGAAGAGACTAGCGCAGGGGTCGGCAACATGTGGCCCTTTGGCCGAATGCGGCCCACGAAGATCATTTTACCAGCCCATGAGCTGCCCCTGAACCGAACCACCCACTCAGCAAGTCCCCCGTGCACTATGCTAAACCGGCATGGTGCAGCGCGGGGACACACCGAGCGGCACCAGAAATCACGTCTGCACATGCACAGATACTGGAAATCGCATCTGCGCATGACCAGACGCCAAAAATTGCTTCTGAGCAGGTGCGATTTTCGGCATCTGGGCATGCGCATACGCGATTTCTGGCGTTGTGCTGTGCCAGTCTGGCCCATGGACAATCTCCGTGGGAGTGATCCGGCCCATGGCCGGTAAACCTTGCCGACCCCTGGACTAGCACAAAGGAGGATATATAAAAGCCTGGTGTTCTCTCTTTTCTGTCATGTGATGAGGCACACCATACTCCGGAGCTGTGGGAAATTGTGAAGTTGTATCAGAAGCAAATTTGGGTCACTACAGCTATAAAGGTAAAGGTAAAGGGACCCCTGACCATTTGGTCCAGTTGCGGACGACTCTGGGGTTGCGGCGCTCATCTCGCTTTACTGGCCGAGGGAGCCGGCGTACAGCTTCTGGGTCATGTGGCCAGCATGACTAAGCCGCTTCTGGCGAACCAGAGCAGCGCACGGAAACGCCGTTTACCTTCCTGCCGGAGCGGTACCTATTTATCTACTTGCACTTTGACGTGCTTTCGAACTGCTAGGTTGGCAGGAGCAGGGACCGAGCAACGGGAGCTCACCCCGTCACGGGGATTCGAGCCACCGACCTTCTGATTAGCAAGTCCTAGGCTCTGTGGTTTAACCCACAGCGCCACCTGCATCCCTATGGCTATAAAAGGATGCATATTTCACGAAGCTGTCCAAGCGCTAAACTTCTCTGGCTCTGAGAACTGGAGCAACTGTAATGAAGTGAAGAACTAAATTATGACCAAGAACTATCTATTCCATGAAGATCCACTTCTATAAAGGGCCAACGGCAGAGATGAGGCTGAACAAGTGACTCTATTCTAGAGTGGAAAATCCCCTTTTGGTCCCTTGCCCCATTACAGGGTGTGGCTTCTGACGATATTTTGCTGCCTGAAACAAAGTAGTAAAATGGCACCCCCTCCTCCAAAATCAAGGTGCATAGTACCCAAGACCAGCCAAGTTATTTTGGCACCTGAGGCAGGAAATCCCACATGCACATCTCTCTTTCCCTGACAAAGAAAATATAACAACAAATTAAGCAGGTAACTATTTGCTGCCTTTTCACAGCATCCAAAATATGATGACTGAGGTGGACCGCTTTACCTAATGGCAGAGCCGACCCCATCGGAACATAGGAAGCTGCCTTATGGTGAGTCAGACCATTGGTCTCTCTAGTTCAGCATGGTCTGCACTGGCAGAAGCTCTCCAAGTTTCAGACAGGGGATATTCCCCCCAGTAAGTTAGCGAAAATGTATAGGACTAACTCGAACGTCTGTTGGAAATGTAAGGAAAAAGAGGCCACCTTATATCATGTGTGGGATGCGGGTGGCGCTGTGGGTTAAACTACAGAGCCTAGGACTTACCAATCAGAAGGTTGGCGGTTCGAATCCCCGCGACGGGGTGAGCTCCCGTTGCTCGGTCCCTGCTCCTGCCAACCTAGCAGTTCGAAAGCACATCAAAGTGCAAGTAGATAAATAGGTACCAGGATCAAAACTTCAACAGAGAATGGGACAAATATAGATTGTATTTAAAAGTACACTGTATAAACTTGAACTCTTTGGCAAGCTTTTAATAATAATAATAATAATAATAATAATAATAATAATAATAACAACAACTTATTATTTATACCCGCCCATCTGGCTGGGCTTCTAACAAAATATTAAAATACAGCAATGCATCAAACATTAAAAGCTTCCCTAATCTTTGAATAACTCTTGTGATGTTATAAAGACTTTGGGTATTTTGGAGAACGATAATTCAGATGAACTATAATATGCTGTTGATTAAGATATTTAAAGGACCCACGGAGGGGAGCAGATTTGGGTGAATCTCATTTAATTTAAAAATTGAATTGTGTGATTTATTCTGTAAAACCAATAAAAGTTATTTTTAAAAAAACCGACGGGTTATTCCCAGCACTACCTGAAGACGCCAGGAATTGAACCTTGAGCTTTCTGCATATAAAGTAGATGCTCTGTCACTGAGCTATGACCCTTCTCTGTAAACATTATTCAACAGAGCTTCTCCCTGAAACTCCCTGCAAGCTACTTCTTCTAGGACACATGAAGGAGTGTGGTGGAGTCTCCTTCTTTGGAGGTCTTTAAGCAGAGGCTTGACAACCATATGTCAGGAGTGCTCTGATGGTGTTTCCTGCTTGGCAGGGGGTTGGACTTGATGGCCCTTGTGGTCTCTTCCAACTCTATGATTCTATGATTCTAAGGCTTTGTAGTTGCCTTCTCTCTGCAAAGCAGCAACAGTTCAGATGTTGACAAAAGACAGCGTAAAGCCGGGATCTAAGGAAGCAGCCGCAACGACAGGTGAAGAGGCAGGCTTTCTCATACCCCTGGACAGAAGCATTTTTACTTCGTACTATAGGTGAGGATATTAAAAGACAAGATGTTAAATTGTTTTTATATGCAACAACAGCAGCAAGAGTATTGTTAGCCCAGAAATGGAAGCAAGAAGAAATTCTGACGAAAGAAGAATGGCAGACAAAATTAATGGACTACGCAGAATTAGATAAAATGACAGGAAGAATTCGAAACCTGCGGGACCAGAGATTCACAGAAGATTGGAAGAAATATAGGAACTATTTGAAGAGCAACTGTAATCAACAAATTACACTAGTAGGACTACAAGAAGTTTTGTAAGGAGAAATATATGAAACATTGCAAAGTAGAGAAAGAATAGCGATATTAGTTATGAGATTTAAATGTAATAATGAAAGTAAAAAATGTATATTAAGTGAATAGACTGGAAAATTTTCAAATGTGATTGATGGAAGTAAAAAAAAACTGTATAAGATGTAAAAGTATGTTTAATTATTGTTGAAAATGATATGTTTAAAAAAACTAATAAAAAATTATATATGAATACTTTACCGAAAGTGTTGGAGAGGATCCAGGAATTTGGACAGGTAGCCACCCAGATACTACTAGCCCAGAGATGGAAAGAGGATACAATCCCTACCAGAGAAGAATGGCAAACCAAGCTGATGGACTATTCTGAAATGGCAAAGCTGACAGGGAAATTCAGGAACCAAGAGGACAAAAACTTTATAAAAGAATGAGGAAAATTCATAAGTTGTCTAAGAGACCACTGTAAGCAGATGGAAACATTGGCAGGATTTTGATTTCACTTGTAGTGTAACAATTATCATGGAAAATTTGGATTGTTATAACAGTTAGAGTTTGGAGAAGACGCAGTTTTAAATGATTAAAAAGGGACTCCAGGGAAGGGGTGGGGGGAAGTCCTGAGATTCAAAGGAATCTCTTTATGTTGTTGTTGTTTAGTTGTTTAGTCGTGTCCGACTCTTCGTGACCCCATGGACCAGAGCACACCAGGCACTTCTGTCTTCCACTGCCTCCTGCAGTTTGGTCAAACTCATGCTGGTAGCTTTGAGAACACTATCCAACCATCTCGTCCTCTGTCGTCCCCTTCTCCTTGTGATCTTTCCCAACATCAGGGTTTTTTCCAAGGAGTCTTCTCTTCTCATGAGGTGGCCAAAGTATTGGAGCCTCAGCTTCACGATCTGTCCTTCCAGTGAGCACTCAGGGCTGATTTCCTTAAGAATGGATCGGTTTGATCTTCTTGCAGTCCATGGGACTCTCAAGAGTCTCCTCCAGCACCATAATTCAAAAGCATCCATTCTTCGGCGATCATCCTTCTTTATGGTCCACCTCTCACTTCCATACATCACTACTGGGGAAACCATAGCTTTTACTATACGGACCTTTGTTGGCAAGGTGATTCTCTACTTTTTAAGATGCTGTCTAGGTTTGTCATTTTTTTTTTCCCAAGAAGCAGGCGTCTTTTAATTTCGTGACTGCTGTCACCATCTGCAGTGATCATGGAGCCCAAGAAAGTAAAATCTCTCACTGCCTCCATTTCTTCCCCTTCTATTTGCCAGGAGGTGATGGGCCCAGTGGCCATGATCTTCGTTTTTTTGATGTTGAGCTTCAAACCATATTTTGTGCTCTCCTCTTTCACCTCCATTAAAAGGTTCTTTAATTCCTCCTCACTTTCTGCCATCAAGGTTGTGTCATCTGCATATCTGAGGTTGTTGATATTTCTTCCAGCAATCTTAATATGGCTATGCAATTGAATTTTTTATAATTTTGCAATGTAAAAACCAAATAAAAATTATTTTTTAAAAAATAGGCTTTATAGGTCAAACCCAGCACTTTGAATTGGGCCCAGAAGTTAATTGGCAGCCAGTGCAGCTGGGCCACGATTGCCGTTATTTGATCCGATGGTTTGTGTCATTGTACAAAAGAAGAAGATCTAAATTAAATAATTAAACAACCAATGTATTTTTGTGCCTTCTGAGTGGAAGTAGTTAAAGCAGTAATGAAATCCAGTTTCCCTGGTAATTTCATGCCTGAGAATATTTTACTTTTAATTAGTAGCTGCAGCACCATCCCAGTCACTCCTGAGTCATGATTTATTCTTATTTTTATTTCTTCCTTTTTAAAAAATCATTATTAAACACGTTAAAACCAGTAATTAAAGTACAACTTTTAATTTTTAATAGGAAGTGGGTGTTATTATTGTGGAAATGCAAAGCTGCATTAGAGTTCCTAAGTGGCTGTTAAGAAAACTGTAAGTAGAGGCCATTATAAAGCCATTTTTGTGCATAAAGCCCTTTGGAAAGGTAACGGATCTCCCCATGAACGCTAATAACTGACTCTTGCTGCTTATTGCCCATGAGCACCTCACCCATCCAATCCATTTACTGAGCTGCTATGATGTCACGGAAGGTTCAACACCACCTAATCATTATATAAGAAGAATCTTATGTAAAGGTATAAATGTTGATGGTTGTGATGATGGTGGATTTTCTATGAAAGAAAAAAAGGCCAGCTAGACTAAGAGGCCTGGGCCTAGTCCTAGACACAGGGAGAGCCTGGTGGGAAGACTGAAGGAATAAGCACTAAGAAACTCAGAGAGTAATTTAAAAAAAAAAATGGCTCCAGAAAGAAATATACAATAGACCTTCAAGTGTCCCAATTTGCCCAGCACATTCCCTGAATTACAGAAGCCAACCCAGCTTCTGATCTGATCCTGGAATGTCCCAGTTTCCCCCCTCCAGTGCTGCCACTGAGCTCAGGGAGGAATATGACCTTGCATATGTTTTTGTTGTTGTTTTTTGTGCTGCATTCTTGCATGAACCAACTAACTCATGGAGCAGCGCAGCTGAAAATCACACGTTTCAGTTTTCATGCAGCTGAGGTAAAGATGAAAGATGTGTGTGGATGCCTAAGAGAGAAAGATAAACAGGGAGGGCATAAAGTTTAGTCAAGAGATTTGAAGAAAGGCTGGCTGGAATACGCAAAGGGAGAAAGTTTACACCTACTCTAGAGACAGAAAAAAAATTACTCTCTTAGCAGCAAATGAGTTGATGAACAAAGGACCATTAGAGTCTGTGGATACAGGAACACTGGGTGGACAAAGTAGTGTCATGGCTGCTGTCCTTGGTCCCCAGCAACATGTTATCTCCAGAAAAGAAGCATACAGGACTGCAACTGAATGTGTGTAGCATTATCTGGAATCGCAAACCTAAACTGAACATCCTAAAGAGTGTGGATCTCCTAATCTGCTTTTACACCAGGTGTGAGACATAGCCACATTTTGTTCATTCACTTTCTATAAAACATTTGCATGATCTTGTGAGCAAAACATCCTCCTTCCATGTTTTCCTTCTTCGCCTTCCTTTTCTTTTTTTCCAAGTTAAGAATATCCTACTTTTTAAAATACACACACACACACAATGGAATACTTGAGCAATTTCCCTAGGGGTGGGTAGAGGACCTGTTGCTCAGCTTTTCAATAACCTTTTTTGACTGGTTTATGACTTGTGCAGACAGGCAAACTAATGCCGGTGTACTGGAAGAAGCAAAGATCACCAATGTCAAAGCAATGATTCTTCAACATCAACTTTGTTGGACTGGTCATGTTGAGTAGATGCCTGATTATCATCTTCCCAAAGCAACTACTCTATTCTGAACTTTAAAATGGAAAGCATAATGCTGGTGGTCAACAAAGGAGGTTCAAAGACTCTCACAAGGCAAATCTAAAAAAATGTAGTATAAACATCAGCAGTGATGGGCTTTGAAGACACTCGAACTCAGGACGAAAGGGAGAAACGTGCTAAGAGGAAGTCATGTTTGGGAAACCCTCATCGTGATCAGCTCTCACCTAGAAACGTATGTCCCCACTGTGAAAGGATGTGTGGATCCAGAATTGGCCTCCACAGTCACTTGAGGACTCACTGTTAAAATCATGTTTATGGAAGACAATCTTACTTGGCTACAAGTGATCGCCAAAGAAGAAGATTGAACTAGCTCATTCCTTCCTTATTGTCTGTCCTTCCTCTCAAGGAATCAACTCTATTACTTTAACCCTTCCCTTTGCAAATTTCATTAACTTTAGAGCTCTCCTTCCCTGCTGCCGCCCAAGTTGTATCTTGAACATCTGTGCGCAGCTGATCACTTGAGACAATGGGATAAAAGCACTTTTCTATTTAAAAACAACTTGCATATTCAGCCAATGATTGGCTTCAGTAAAAACTTTCCAAATGCCCTTGGCTGTCCATATACATCTCCTCTCCCTACACAATGACAGTCTAGGACTGTCACTAACATGAATAAACAGCACATCCCCGTTAAAGTTTTCACATATTCTGTACTGCTGCAATTATTGATACTACACAAATCCTACTCAGAGCGGACCCATTAAAATTAATGGGCATGACCGTGGGCCATTTGTTTCAATGGGTCTACTTTGTGTGGAACTTAAAGGTAAAGGTAAAGGACCTCTGACAGCTAAGCCCAGTCACGAACGACTCTGGGGTTGCGGCGCTCATCTCACTTTACTGGTCGTGGGAGCCGACGTTTGTCCGCAGACAGTTTTTAAGGGTCATGTGCCCAGAATGACTAAGTCACTTCTGGCAAAACCAGAGCAGTGCGCAGAAACGCCATTTACCTTCCCGCTGGAAT